AGGGAGGTGGGAGGGGGGACCGGGATGGGGAATACATGTAAATCCATGGCTAATTCATTTCAATGTATGACAAAAACCACTGCAATGTTGTAAAGTAATTAGCCTCCAACTAATAAAAATAAATGGAAAAAAAAAAGATAGATTTTGAAAGCTTAAAAAAAAAATAAAGACCTAACATCATATCAAGAACATTATTTCGTTGAACTTTTTCTACAAAAATACTTTTAATCATTTAACACAACATTTACTGGATTTCTTTAAAATAGAGCTATTTAATATTCTAAAATATAGGTATAAGTTTTTAAGCAATCCTTCATTGTTGAAAGATTTAGATATTTTTTGCCTTCTTTTCTCACTAAAAATAACACCACAAGTCCTTTAACTTAAAAATTTCTCACTTAAAAATAACACTACAAGACCTTAGTGGGTATATATGATTGTTTCTATAGCATCTGTTCCTAGGGGTAGAATTACCAGAATTACACGTTTAACACTTGTGACATACATTGACAACTTGTCCTTGAGAAGGCTGGTCTAGTCTATCCAGCCCAGTTGTGAGGTATGTGGGTGCCTTAGTATTGCCTGGAGTTTAGTGCTTTTGAAGTATCATTTAAATCATTCCAGGGTAAAGTGCTATCAAAGCAAGATGCATTTACCACTTTACTTCATCTACTTCAGTTGAACATAAATTGCTCTGAGTGGTTGTGTTTTTCTTGTAAAAGGCATGCTTGTTGCTAGCACGTCTTCCTGTCAACTAGAGGACTGGGGGACTTCACTGGTGGTTCAGTGGTTAAGAATTCATCTTCCAATGAAGGGGATGTGGGTTTGATCCCTGGTCCCAGAACTAAGATCCCACATTCTGTGGGGCAACTAAGCTCTTGAGCCACAACTACTGTGCCCACGCCTAAACTAGAGAACCTGGGTGCCATAACTAAGACCCGAGAAAGAAAAAAAGAAAGGAAGGAAGAAAGAGAAAGAAAGAAAACCAACTAAAGGACCAACTCTCCACTCCCAGTCTTAGATGAAGTGCATCTTTGTAGATTCATGGCCTCCTCAGCCTGCCTTTGGTCAAGATGTTGATGATTCCTGGTTTTAGTTCAGATGGAAACACATCATGGCATCTGCTGCCAATTCCCATTACAGGAGGCTGAGCTCCTGCAAGACTCCAGGTCCCTTCGGGATAACAAGGTGGGACGTGGGATACATCTTAAGACGTGGTCACCTTTGAGGTAGCCAGCTAGGCTCAGCTGGCCTCTGAGGCCTGTGCCAGAGACCTCCTCAACAAACAGTCCCACCCAGGTCCTGAGGGTCCCCAACCAAACCTCTTGCCTACCTGCCAGATACGAGCCTTCTGCTTTACAGTAAGTCCATTCAGTCTATCCTTGTCTGTGCTCTTTCTAAATGAAAAAAAGTGCCCCAAATGCATACCTCTCTGTGTGTTCTTGGTCACTTCAGTCGTGTCTGACTGCTTTCGACACCATGGACAGTAGCTCGCTAAACCCCTCTGTCCATGAGATTTTCCCAGCCAAAATACTGGAGTGGATTGCCATGCCCTCCTCCAGGGGATCTTCCTGATCCAGGGATCAAGCCTGCGTCTCTTGTATTGCAGGCAGACTCTTTACCTACTGAGCCATCAGAGAAGCCCCATACCTCTTTATACTCTATTAGTTACTTAGAGGATGAAATGGAATGATCATACAAGCTCTCAAATAATTCTCTGCTGGTTCCTTCTTCCATTGTCTCTGCATCCAGGCTTAAGTGGGAGGTAGCCGCGAGCTAGCGTACCTTTCGGTTCATGCATTGCTCAGAATATCCCAAATCAGTGAACTCTGGGCTCCCTGCTCCCTGATCTCTTCTTCCCTCTCACGTCTCCCTAAGAAGGTTGTCACTGAAAGAGATTTGCCGCAGACAAGTAAACCCTGGATAAGTGGGAGGGAGGAAGCCCACTGACTTACGAAAAAACATACAAGAATTCCTTTAAATATATAATCCTTTTAACATACAGGGCAATAGAAAAGGTACCTAAGTAGCCATTTTTGAAATCAATATTCTGTTATATATTTTAAAATTCCATTTTTGTGTTTTAATTTAACTTTAATTTTATTATTATAATATAATCAACTAAATAATAGTAGCTGTTTACTTATGCATGCTCAGTAGCTTCAGTCGTGTCTGACTCTGTGCGACCCGATGGACTGTAGCCAGCCCCCTCTGTCCATAGGATTCTCCAAGGCAAGAATACTGGACTGGGTTGCCATGCCCTCCTCCAGGGAATCTTTCCAACCCAGGGATCGAACCTATATATTATACCTCCACATTAATAGATGCCTGGTACCGAGGCTGCCTGAGGAAATCTCCATCAAACATTTTACAATATTATTTTTAAAAAAATTTTTGGCTGCACCACAGGGTATGTGGGATCTTAGTTCCCCAACCATGGATTGAACGCACACCCCCTGCATTGCAAGGCAGATTCTTTACCACAGTACCACCAGGCAAGTGCATATTTTGTATTGTAATATGAAAATGACCTTTGTCATTCTCCTCTTTTATCCTTATCCTCCCTTACTACTCTCATCCTCTTCTTCTGCTAAATGAATTATTTCCCCTATTCTTTTGCTAAAAGGAATGAATTTTCCCCTATCTTGTTTAGTGCTTTAAAGAAAGTGACTGGTTTCAAAGACAGAGGAAAATAGACTTCTTCACTGTCTTCCAGCAGAGAACAGGGAATGGGCCAGGAGAAACCAAAAGTTCTAAAATGATGTGAACACACATCTGAGTATTCTATCCATTGGGAACCTGGCCCCACAAGGCTCCAATTATTATTAGAGGAAATTACAGGACACAGATGCAAAAATCTCTGACCCGGCCTCCGAGGTCATGCAGGGCCAGGCCTCTCGGAAGGCTCTGGAGTGGTGTGGCCCTCCGCTCTGGCCTGGAGGCCTGGAGACTGACCTTTGAGAGAGATGCAGGCCCCCTCAGGAAAAGAGGGCTCTCCCCGGCACCATTAGCACTGACTGGCGTGGCTTGAAACGCTGCAGGCACATTTTCTTGCCCCAGTAAGAGTCTCAGGGGATGTCGTGCAGCTGTGAGCGGTCATAGAGCCAATGTGGTGACTTCATCTCTGGCCAGAGAGCAGACCATTAACAGATCAGGAGCCACTAGCTAGAGCTAAATAGGGGTGAGCAGGAAAGCCTGGAAAAGATGGAAGAGTCACCTGTGGGTGTTAAAAACCACACCCTACCAAGAATAGAATCATCCTACTATAAATTAACAACATCCCACATAAGCATAGAAGGGACTGATGAGAATTCAAGCTCCTGACTCAGGTTTTATTTAACAGATGCCCAGTGTCCTTCATCTGGCTCCTCAACGGCTGACTGAGCCCCCATAGGACAGGGACATTTGTTTTAAGCTGTTTTCACTCATTTCCTAATGCTGGGGATATGTGTGTTTAGTAATGTCCATTTATGTGGGGAACTTGAGCGATCCTCCCTTTTATGTTTAAAAAAAAAAATGTATGGAAATATCGCTGACTTAACAGCATTATGTCAGTATCCGCTGCACAGCAAAGTGATTCAGTTATATATACACACATTCATTCATTCTTTTCCAGATTCTTTGCTCATATCAGTATCACAGAATGCTGAGTAGAGTTCCCTGTACTATACAGCTGGTCCTTGTTGGTTATCTAGCTCATACATAGTAGCTGTTGTTATTGTTGCTGTTATCGATCAGTTACTAAGCAATGTCCGACTTTTTGTGACCTCATGGACTGTAGCCTGCCAGGCTCCACTGTCTGTGGGATTTTCCAGGCAAGAATACTGGAGTGGGTTGCCATTTCCTCTTCCAGCATATAGAGTATTGTGAGTATGTTAATCCCAAACACCTGATTTATCCCTTCTCCCAACATTTCCCCTTTGGTAATCATAAATTTGTTTCCAATGTCTGTAAGTCTGTTTCTGTTTTGTAAATAAGTTAATTTTTATCTTTTAAAAAAATTAGATTCCACATATGAGTGATATCATATAATATTAGATCTTCCCCTTTAGAGCATCTTTAGAACTCCCAAATACTCTTGCTTTGGAAAGAGAAATTTGGGACTTATATAGATCATGTAATAATCTGTGGTGAGGACTGATTCTGAAAGTGCTATTGTCTGGTGGTGGTGTTTTTGACACTGAATACCAAGGCAGTTAAAGTCGAATTTTCTCACTTGGTTGTGTGGCTTTTCCATGTTCTTTAGGTCAACACATTGAAACAACCCTTCATTTTTAGACATTGTGATAGGTGCATATGTATTTAAATTCTAATTTCTGAATATTGAATCATATTTTATAAACAACAGGGCATTGCGTTATTTAAAGGATACTTTGTGAATCCTTTTGTTTGGTTGGGCTTGGGAGAATAAACATTCACTCTCCTCAGACAAAAGAAATATCCTAGTAGTGGATAATCTTATTAATAAAAATCAGAATATATCAATGTTATTTACAAAGTCCTTCAGTGTTTTTTCAAAATAACAATATATTTTTCTTATCACCTTTTAATGGTACACTCCAATATTTTTCAAAGGATATTTTTAAAAAAATATATCAAAGGACAGCTTTCAAAGTTCCAGTGTACTAAATAATGGCAATTTTTTTTTCTTTTTTTTCTCAGTCTTTTTATGAAGCTGTGAAGTCCCTGGTATGTTCTGGGCACTACAAATTGACCCTAATTGCTCTTTTCTAGGTATTTCCAGGTAGAAAGTCATTTAAGGCAAGGCTTGTCAGCTGAGATTGCCTATCCCAAGCTAGCTCTTAGTTACTCATACATAGTTAATTTGCTGTACCACGGCTGACCTTCAGGACTGGTGGGATGTCACCAGGGCCATCTCCTTCTCAACTCTGGGATTAAATAAGGCTCCTTTAGAGTACAAGTCAGAATTCTCTCTGAGCCAGACTGCAGAATCTCTAGAGAGCAGCTGAGAGAATAGAAGTCTCCAGCTAAGAAACAGCCATAAGAAAGAACAGAAGAAAGGTGGGGTGGTAATTAGTGACCTTTGCTGCCTGCAGTCTACTTTCAAAGATGAGAAAACTGAGGCTGAGAGAAGTTATCTGCTTGATTTCAATAGTTGTAACTATTTAAACACCCATTTGGAGCCAAAAGTTGTGCTTTTCTTTCTACTGTTCAGCGTGTACTTGTTCCCCAAGCACTGAGCGTCTCCCATGAACTAGCACATTTCAGTGGCCTTCGGGGAGTGGACAGCGGCCAGGCCCGGAGGAGGCTCGGCGTCCAGCGGGGCAGACGCCCAGGAGCCGGGTGCCGGACACGGCTGTGTTCTGCTGCTGCTTTTAATATGGCTTTCCTTCCTCTTTGGTCTAAATTGAGATCGTTACCTACACTTGGAACAGCTCCATTTTTCCATCCCCTTCTTGTTATCAAGAGACTATATACTATCCTCAAGTGTTCCTCCCTTTATTTTCACAGGAGTCGGTAGTGACGCGTCCTAAGGGTACGTGCATGCTAAGTCGCTTCAGTCATGTCCAACTCTTTAAGACCCTACGCGTTGTGGCCCTCCAGACTCCTCTGTCCCTGTCCATGGGATTCTCCAGGCAAGGATACTGGAGTGGGTTGTCATGCCCTCCTCCAGGGGATCTTCCCAACTCAGGAACTGAACCCACTTCTTCTGTCTCTTGCATTGCAGGTGAATTCTTTACCCATTGAGCCACCTGGGAAGCCCCTGTCTGAAGGGTATAAGCTTTGATTTGTCTTCCTGGTGGTGGGGATGAGTTTCCATGAAGACATTTGGCACTCATTCTGTCCATCTTTTAATTAAGGATACCTTTCAAATAGCAAAAACTCTATAAATATTGACAGATTGACCCAGTTTGGAACACAATCTGGACTTTGAAATGGAAAAGACCCAAGTTAACAATAGAATAAAGAGAAGAGCTACATACAGGGACTGGATCATCATCTGCAGCTGTCTAGTTCATACTGTTTGATCGAATTCCCTCGCTTGAGTGCAGCCAAAGCCGCGTATAGCCACATTCCTGGCTTCGTTTTAGAACACCACCCTTGTTTTCCTTTCTTTCATTCCTCTCTCAATTTATGTTTCCCTGCAGTATATGTAAATCCTTTTAAACTTTCTTAAATTTTTCCTGGAATGAGGGAAAACATAAATTAATCAATAAAGATTAATCAATAACTGTGGTCATATTTCTTTGTCTTCTCTCTCTTGGCTCACTGCACTAGCTTCCGCCTGCTCTGTCTCCCATCATGGACCTGGGTTCTGCCACCAGATTCTTCCCAGTGGCTTTCCTCACTCCTTACCTCTGTCCAGTTTAGCCCTCAGTCGTGGTAATCATCTCCTCTTCCTCTTTCTCAGTTTCCATTGTGATGCCTGGCTCTCCTCTTATCTCTTCAACAGCTTATTTGAGGATCCTTTTCTAGTTCCTCTTTCCAACCCCATTCACTAATTACGGTTCTGAGACTGGGCTCCTGGCACCCGTGTCTTCCATCTCAAAGAGAGCTCATGTTCTGCCACGGGCCACAAACCCCTTGGGGACAGGGACCATGTACTTCTCAATATCGCAGAAGGCCTGGCGTGTACTCGGAGCTCAACACTCATCACTGCTTTAAGCTTGATAATTCCAGGAGTGGTGGTCTAGAGGGTCCCTCTAGAGAGTTTAGAGAAGAATTTTAAGAAAACAAACTACCTAGTCATGGAACAGATATAATTTATGTTGCCCACTGAAGTCTCTAGTCTCATAAACCTGTGAAATGAAAATAGACAAGGATTAGATTGAAATCTTTTATTATGACCAGCATTAGTTTTAGTACCTCTTTGCAATTTTGGTGGTTGTCATTGTTGTGTGTTTTTATGTATATATTTCTAAAACGTATCTTGAATCCCTCATCTCTCCCCATTCTCACTTCCACGATGCTGCATGCTGTTTGCAGCCCCATCGCCTGTTACTTCGATGACCCGATGGCCTCTGACTGGTTACCCTGATGTCTTTGCCTCTCATGTATTCTCCACACAGCAGCCAGAGAGGTCTTTAAACAACTGGCATGTGCTGTTCCCCTGCCCCGTTACCTTTCCTGGTTCCCTATTGCTCTGTGGATAAATATCCGGTTGTGTGACCTGCAAGGCATTCCATGACCTCAACAGCTTTTCTCAGTTCCTAGGATGCTCCACACTCCTGACGTTATGCTGTTACATGTCCTCTTTGTTGGGGAGACTCTGAACTTACCCTTAAGGGCTTGGCTTCTGCAGAGAGGCTGCCCTGACTCCTCAGATTGGTTCAGCAATGCTGATTATTCAATATCATTCTTCACTATGCTTTTCTTCCATAGGACTTATGATAACCAGAAGGAAGCAACTATTTGGCTGTTTATTTGTAGCATAGTGTCTGCATTCCCTTGCTGGACCAGAAGCTCTACAAAGCCAGGCTTGCTGTCTCTCTTGCTCACCACTTTATTCAGAGGAATTAGCCTGGCACATAAATGTTTGTTGAAGGTACAGAAAAATAAAAGTTGTTAAAGAATCAGACCTGGCTGTCTGGTATTCCAATAAAACCCTCTAGTTTAGAAAGATATTTAAGGCATGGCTGAAGCTGGAAATTAAAGAGGCAGGCTGAGTTGGGAGTGATGTGGTGAAGATTTACTTGAAACAGGTTCTGCAGACCCCTAGATGCTGATTGGAATGTGAGTTGAATGAGGGTCCATGTGAATGTTCAGCAGAGAGGCCCAACTCTGAGAGCCAAGGGTCTTTTCCTCAGTCATGGAACACAAAGGCTTATCTGATGTTCCTCACTTGCCAAGCCTACACATAAATGCTTTGATTTATTTCTGCATCCTATTTTTCACATAGTAGATAAATCTGTGATTATCTTTTAGGAATTCTGCTAGATGGAAGCCAACACACTGAATAAGTCACAAGTCATGATTCTTTTTAGAAAGAATTACAAGTTGAGTTTCACTTCACCTTTCCCTGGCTTATCATTGGAATTTTGACATATTAGCATCTCAGGATAAATTAAGAGCTTTGGGAAATTAAAATCAGCATCTATGGTTTGAGAAAAGTAGGCATCAACTGTGAGAAACTGAACATCCCTGTAATTCTCAACGTGACTTCTTCTTGGAGTCCCAGAGCTAACTTCACTGCATCTTCTATTTGGTGACATTGATTTTATTATTTTTTAATATATTCGCCATGCAAAAATACCTATGTGAAGCTTTTTAGTTATTCATTTCATTAAAAAGACAGATTTTTTTTAACTTAAGAATAATTGGTTTCACAATATTGTGTTAGTTTCAGGTGTACGACAAAGTGGTTCCGTAATATATAAGTATTCTTTTTCAGATTCTTTTCCATTATAGATTATTACAAGACACTGCATATAGTTCCCTGTGCTATATACTAGGTCCTTGGCTTTTAAATCTATTTTATACATAGTAGTGTGTATTTGTTAATACTAAACTCCTAATTTATCTGTCCCTTGCCTGCCCCTTTAGTAACCAAAAATTTGTTTTCTTTGTCTGAGTTTGTTTCTGTTTTGTGATTAAGTTCATTTGTATCATTTTTTTAGATTCCTCATGTAAGTATGGTATTTGTCTTTCTTTGTCTTACTTCACTTAGGATAATAATCTTTAGGTCCATCCATGTTGTTGCAAATGGCATTATTCTGTTCATTTTATGACTGAGTAGTATTCCATTGTGTATACATACACATCTTCTTTATCTATACATGTCATCTGTCAATGGACATTTAGGTTGCTTACATGTCTTGGCTACTATAAATAGTGCTGTGATGAACATTGGAGTGTGTGTAGCTTTTAGAATTATAATTTTTGGAAAAAAAAAAACAGGATTCTT